CAACACTAGCATGGTACAGAAATAACTGCACCAAATATGTCACATCATGAGCTGAAATGGTCAGCACTTTCCCGTAGATACTTAATCACCAAGTAGTTCCAAATTGAATACATCTGGAAACGGCTAAATATTATAGATCATTGCTCAGGAAGAGAAATAGTGGACGAGGAATGCAGTATAACTTATATTTTTACTCGCAGTGTCCCCTAACCAAAGGAAATCTGCCGCTGCCGTGATGGATGACAAAGAACCCACTCTGAACCTCCGTGCCTCACAATTATCAACAAATGGGCTGGAGCAGATTTTATGTAATGATTAAAGCTGCTGTTAATTTCACATGAGGGTAATGAGTGGGGAGATTGACGGCCACTGTCTGGCACTCCATCATCCCTTTATAGTTAGTTTAAACGTTTTCACGACTCTTTCCCTCCTTCATTTGCATTTTGCCTCATTAGATATGGCCATTTCTGAGGCTGCTCACGATATCCATTTCCTGGAGTTAATGCATTTATTTGATCAGCCAAACCTTCCCAGTTAACTAGCTGACATTCAGCCGTTTCATATGACATCACTCCATTAGCAGCCGCCATGCCACCTCCACATCCACACCCGCTGCCACCACCATCCCTCCACTGCCTTAAGCAATTACAATGTGCGACTGTCTCCGGATGCAGCGTTATTGTTTTTCGCCGGGTGTTATCTGCCCCAGTTGTTCTATCCGTCTTTCACTTCCCAATATTTTCCCTTTTTGGGTTTTATTTTTCACAAGGGCTGTAGCAGAGGTCCACTGGTGAGCAATAGCCGGGGCTCCGAGGACTCAGAGTGCACGGCCACAGTGCGAGGCCCCGCTAACCGAGGGACCAGAGGTGTTTTGGAGGGCCTAATGGCATTTTGATGTTCATAAGCACAGAGGATGTGAGGGAGGGGAGACAGGGAGGTGGGGGATAGGCCGTTTTAGGGAATAGGAGGAGGTGGAGAGTCAGCAGAGGACTGTCAGCGGAAGACTAGCCGAGCCCTGACAGACAGAGAACGTGTTTTCTCATGTCACAGCTGATTACATTCACTCCGGAGTGGGAAAAGAGCAGGGAGGAGACAGAGTTGTGGGGCCGGGATGAACAACGTCCATGTTGTTCCGAAGATACAGGGCATCGGCTCAGAGACAATAGAACTGTTTAATTAATTTAATGAACACTGTTTGGCTCACTTTTGGTTGCAAGAAAACATGAAGACTTTGATCCATCTTAAATGTTCCCAAACATACCTCAGAAGAGATGGTAATTAATTAAGTGAATTTGCTAAATAATTTCTGTGCCCTTCTAAGTTGTATCTAATGTTTTAGATAAAGGTTTGTTGTTGAATCATACATTAGAAGAGTATCACTCTCTAAACTCTGCTGAAGCCTTAGTGTCGACAAATCCGCCTTCCTGCTGGTGTCCGCACCACTTTGTCCATTTATCTTTGCTGTTCTTTGTCTTGGCCCAGACAAAAAAAGCAATTAAGTTTAAAAACGGCCACATGAAAAGAGCACAAGCAAGAATAAACTCCAGTTAGTTTGTGTCAGACAATTTTGGTTTCCAGGGGTCTCTCCACGGTTAGTGGGGACACTATTTTTCCTTCTATTCCTGAGATTACATGGGTTGCTGCACCAGGTGACCCTCATGGTCAAACAGGCGACGGAGAGCCCGGCAGAGTTTAGATTCTCTCCACTTCAAAACGTTTGGGGAGAAAAGATGCATTTTTAACAATTTGGGTTTCTTTCTGTCCTTTCAGAGACACTTGTTTTGTGTTTGCTGATCCCTGTGTAACCCTTTTCTATTTGGCTATATGAAACTGTGATGGTGCAGCAATTCATGGCAGTTGTGGTGACTTAAAGGTGACGAGATGATGTCACATGATATAATGGAGGCTTGAGCAGAGCGCAGGTTATTGTGTGGATAATATGAAATTGTAACATTGAGTTTTAACATTTCCTTAACAAATGCATGGCTTCAGTTTATTTGTGTTATCCCCACACTAACCCCAGTGGCCTAAGCTGCTGACGCTCCTATTCATGGGGAATGAAAAGAATGAGACACAATGGTTAACATGCAGGCTCTGCAAACTGGGAGATCACTGTTTATCTCCCCCAACACATGCAATCAGGACAAATGCTAGGCCAGGTCTGTCATTTTGTGCCTCCCGCCGAGGTGTTGAGAGGAGTCACCGTGGCGGAAAATCACCTGTTTAGGTGTTGAACACAGCCTCGCCTCTCCTTATTCCTGGCTCTCCTTTCAACTGCTATCCATATTACCCAGTGCCAGGAAGATGCAGCAATAAAGCCTGCTCTCCTTTCACCTACGTTTACCAGAATAACATAGCACCTGAAAGGGCTATCATCGAATGAAAACACAATGATAATATTTCAAATGAATCTGAAAGCTTCTCCAACAACCTATCACTCACACAATGACACCAAGCACAGCAGATTTTCAGGGAGACTCTGGGTGTGCTCGCCCGAGCAGATCGCATTATCTTTGTGTTGATCTGTGGCCTCTTTTTAACTCTGTCTAACCTGCCCTGTTGGCTTTTCTCTGTGCCACAAATCACTATCACAAGCTCTCTTATGCTTTGTTTTAACCATCATGGCTTAAAGACCCCTTCTATCAACACTTCAGAAAATATTTTAAACTCACAAAACACTGAGAGTAGCTGGTCTGGGATTGATGTTTTCTTCAACTTCTACTACTCCTAGAAAATTGTTTGCTAAGTGTCAGTTTAGCTAAACTCCTCGATCCTTCACTTTTTGTTGAAGATCGTGATTTGCACTTGCCTAGTCACATGCTGGCCAGATCTATCCTTGTATATACTTACATATTTTAACAAAATACCTCTTTGCACTATTAAAATGTAGATAGTTCAGCTTCATTGTGTTGGCTGCAGCTCTTTTAAATGTTAAACTGATTCTAAAAAACAGTATCAAATTAAATGTGTTGTGTTCAAAAAATCTTAGAGAGGATTGTTTATTTTCTGTCACTTTATATTAAGGTACACAAATTAACCATCAACTAGTTGTTAATTAACATGCATATTAGCAGTATATTGGCTCTTTAGTAGTCATTATAAAACACTTATTAATGCCTTATTCTACATGACCATATTCTACAAGTAATAAGCCATTAGTTGAGAGTTTTTCCTCATTAACCCTCTAATTAGTGCTTATTTATTGCAAGTAAGGAAGTTGTTGTCCATGAGTTTTGGTCTTAATATGCGCTGCTCAATACGGGCCTAATAAGGCAGTAGTACCACAAGAATAGTAATTCTCCCATAATAACACTTAACAAATATGATCTATTCTTATGGAACAAGACCTGAAACTATAAGTGTTAATTGTGTCTAAATAACTTAAAATTAGGTATTTATATCTAAGAACATGTTCCCTATTTTAAAGTGAAGTCTTGTTCATAACCAATAAAAGCTAGTAGTTTTTAAGTTAGCAGTTAAGGCTAGGGGACACTGAAAATGTCAAAAAAGAATCTTTCACACACAAAACATATATAATATTATTTCTTTAGTTTGGGCTTATATATTATCCCATAGGTATATGTTTGAGAGCATACTATTAAAGGTTACAGCTTGCTCTGTGATCCTGTTACTCCTGCATGTAGAGTCAGAATCAGTTTTGTGCTTCTCTAACATTTGAGGTTTTCGAAGGACATCCGCTGGACACATAAAAGACAATCTTGCGATTATCGAGGAAAAACTGGATGACTTTCAGACGACGGGAGACAATATCAATCACGGCCAATTTGAGGCCACCTACATGAAATATGATTTCATAAGACAAATGCAGTGTCATTCTTAATGTGCTTAACCTTTACTGTCAATGAAAAAGTATTGATCGCTCCGTGGCATTTTTTCATCATTTGATTTCAGAAAGTGTAATAATATATGGTGGTGGGGTAAGATAAAAGATAAATGGCAACTGAATGATTTCAGACGAACAAAGCTGAATTCCCTGCAGAGTACAGACAGTGTGGAAACATTGATGCTTTCATCCAAACAATCCCTTTTTCAGAGCATTTTATGTAATGACAAATAAATCACATGCAATGTTATTTAAAAAAAAAACCTTTACATAAGCTCTTCTTTTCATTTCAGCCTTTTTGTTTGAATATGTTTCTAACTAGTATTAGCAGCAGGGAACAGACAGCCTGCTTCCAAGCACTGTTTCTATTATTCCTCTATTCTGTTGAGTAATTGGGAGGTATCCTATCTCTTCTTAGTCTTTGATCTACTTACTCTACCTAATAAGACTTTGCTCTGCTGCACTACAACCAAATCAGCAGTGCATTTTCAGCCCGCTAATAAGTGGTTAGCTTGATTTATATGGGTAATCTCGCCGATGTGGCTTGGCTCTACAACCTGTCCCCAATACAGGGAACCTCCTTTCACAACCGCAGGCCAGACCAGATGAGTCCATTACATCTGGGGTAAAGACGGTCTCTCTAACCCTCCTCTCCTTCAGAAGGAACAGTGTGCCATTGCATTATGAAGCACGAGGAATTAGTCGAAGCGTATTGAAAGCGCTGGCGATACAGTGATGCATGGCCACACTGCCTGGCTCTATTGTGAAAGCGGGGAGCAGTTGGGCCGATGCTGCGGGTGGAGAGGCTCGGCTCGGCCCGTGGGAGCCCCGGGGGCCAGAGGAAGCACTTAGAGTGGTAAAATGGCCACTTATTCACAACCTCCCTCCCGTTCTCACTGCTCCTCCCTACCCTCAAGCCTCCCACTGGGTTCAGGAGCACAGGCCTCTGCAAACTGTATGATGGACTGCATAGCCCACTCTATTGGACTATACAGGCCTCACTGCAGTTAGCCTATTCTGGCCATGGCAACAACAAAGACCCCCCCCCATCGAGCCCTCCTGAACCTCCTTTTCTTTTTAGGAATTTGCAATTAACATCTGGACAGTTGCATAAACAGATGCAGTTCTGAAATATGGTTTCTCTGCTCTTTACCAGCTGAACCCATTGGCCAGCCAGGTGGCGGTAGCGGCGGCAGCAGCAGCCATGGGATCCATGGCCGGGTCTCAAGTGTTTGGCAACGCCCTGTCAAACCTGCAAGGAGCCACCGGACAGCTGGTCACCAACGCACAAGGACAGGTGAGTGCTAATTAATGGACGCTAAAATGCAAAAAGAATTATCTTGTATACACACACCTTATTAGACACTAGGGTTTTGTGGTTTGCACTTGGTAACAGATCTGTAAGAGATATTACTGGACCATCTATCATGTACAAATGTGCAGCTCCAAATAAAACATTTGTATAGTATTTCTGATCTTTCCACATTGATCTCCAGTGTGTTGTCTTGAATCTGTTTGTCACTACACTCTAGTAGCCAGTCCACCATATATTAAGCTTTTTGGGAATAAACAAAGCCCTTCTTTCTGTTATCCGCATGCGCCTGTCGCAGTAAAACGCTGACCTTGTCATATTTACAGGGTGGCTGCAGAATTGTTCCATCAGTAGCCAGAGGCTTGAACGATGATGCTTGTCATTGCGGGACCCTATCTAATGAATCATCTTATCACAGGTGCACAAGGCACGTATTAAAGGAAAATTGTATGGACAATGTGCCCTTTCATGCCACTCTTGTGTTATGTACCTTAACCCCTGTTTCAAGTCTTAACGCTTGCACTGTCCTTAATGTAAATGTAACACAAACGTGATTTCTCTACAAAAAAACGGTTCATTTTTAATTATTTAACTTAGCCTTCTTGTATTAGGTTTCAGTACCACCCGTGTTAGGTGTTCTCAGTGTGCGAGCGCTTGATGCTAAATGTCGCTAATGAGACAGTATGGACTTCCCTGGCTCACAAGGTGCCTGGAGCACTGGGGACAGATCACTGTGGATACGGACTTGATGGGATGCTCTGTGCTTTTGTAGTGTCTAGGCGGCTGACAGTCCCTGACATAATCAGGTCACAGAGACGGTCAAAGCCGTGGGCTACAGCCTTTGCTCCCCTCCTCATTATTCCACAGCATTATTCAGACGGAGGGCTCTGAAACATGCACTTCCATATCAGAAGGTCCACACACCCCACCCCCAAACACTGAGGAGATTATACAGGCTAATACGTACCTCAAACAGGCCAGGAGGTCCAGCAAACACACTCTGAGAACTTATGTCAGCAAAGAAAAGCTACAAAACCGGAGGCAGTGGAGCAGCTTTTATCTCATTTGAGGTTTTTGCTAACCAGAGAACTGCTTTTATACATTAGTCGCCATTCTTGAATTTATAACACGGTATACCGTCTTTGACCTACTAATTTCCTCTACAATTCTGTCAAAGAAAAAACCTTTTCATAAGCGAGGACTCAGGGACCTTGAAAAGTGCCGCGTTTGATAGACGTTTGGAGTTCAATATGTTTTTAAACCTTAATTATATTGGCCCGAGCCTCTTTATTCTCCAAGGAGAATCAATGAGGCTCTTTCATCCTCGCCACCTCTGCAACAGTGATTAAGGCTGTGGATAAAAGCCACAATATTTTTAAGTCACTCATTTCTGAATTTTTTCTTCTCCTTTGTTCAGTAAAAATTCTCACTTTGCCTGCCGCCTTAAAATGGCAGTAAAACTGTTGGGTAATGAGGACATTAAGGGCTGTTTCATTTAGCGGAGCGTAAATCCAAAAAGGTGTAAAAACCACTGAAGAGGTTTGTGTGTGTCTTATCCCAGTTTGCTAAACCCTGGCTCCATAGCTCTGTGTACGGAAACCCTCTCCCTCCTGAATTTGGGCTATCCATCCCTTTAACTCCCAGCATTCCTAGCCTTTGGGGTGAGGTCTTTGGCCCCTAATACTAAGAGAACATCAGGTAAGGAACACATGCACAGTCAACCTGCCAAGCTAGTGTGCCCTTTGTATTGATGGAAGCCTCCCATCTTTAGGTCAAGTGGAACTGCTATTGTTAGGCTACAACTATTGATTATTACTAGGAACAATTATTCCGTTGACCCTCTAAAAGGTTCTAAAGTGCATATTTAGTTTGAACAAAACTCTGAAAAACAAATATATATTACATAAATATCTAAATATCAAATAAACACAGAACAGCAGCAGATTAGTTTCTTTGAGCTGCTACAAACTGTTAGACGTTGTTGTCGGATAAATAAACAACTCATCATTGCTGCAGTAATCTACTGAATCTGCATCTTGTCAGGTATTTGAGAAAATAAAATGCAGACTTGTACACCCTTGAGAAAATACCCTTCCCAGGAAATGTCTTCTGTCTAGTGTACCATTTTAAATCTGCTTTTTAGCCTCTGATTTGCTCTGACTGTTGGTTTTTTGGACATGTGTGTTGACACAAGTCCAAACTCTCCAAACATTTTCTCTCTCGGTCTCAATTCGCCGCTTGAACAGTGGAGGAGAGAGAATGGGCAGAGATATTGCCTGGCGACCATGGCTAAAGACACAGATTGCCCTGGCTGGAGAGATGAGATGACATTTCTGTGGAAACAAAGAGCAGCATAATCTTAATGAGTTCTGCTGGGTGGAGAGAGGCACAATACTCACAAGCCATTCGAAGTGGAGCGGGGAAGCCAAATAAAGGAGAACAAACTGAAAGATAACTGAGGACAGAGGCCTGGCAGGGACTGAGAGAAGGTCCTGAAAGCTGCCTATTTATGAAATAGTGGTGAAATGGAAATGATTGTATGGCTCCATCAAATATGGGCTTTTTGAACAGAGAGTGAAGTACCTGCTGGTTGATTTGGTGTACTGTGCAACCTTCTTAAGAGGAGCAAAACATGAGGAATTGATAGCAAGACCTCATATGTTCAACATTAAAATGAAGATTTAAACAGAATAGGAGTGTAACATAAGGTTTCAAAACATAAGCATGGAGGCATAAATGATCATGTATAGTTGTGAGGTGATGTTTTATATTTTTTGGCAATACTTATTTAGATACCTTAGTTTGCAGAATATGAACATGTTGCCAAACTGCCTTCTGCACCAGTGTTAAATGAGGAACTTTGTCTAAAAATAAAAATAAGTAAAAAAACATCTTTGACATTTCTGTTGAAGAATGAATAACCTGAGGATCCGACCAATCCATTTGACCAAACATAGATTATCTTGTATTATAAACTATACTTTTCTAAATGCTCTGTACACCTCAACATTGAATGTAATACTTACCATAAGAAAAGTAAAATAATAAAGTATTCTATATTGTATATAGTCTGTCTATAAATTAGCACTGCTTCAAGAACTTTACTCTTCCAGCTTGAGCTATCTGTGAGGCACTGCCATGAAACATCTGCCTGAGATACTCAGATGGAGAAGCATTGCATGGTGGGACAGGGACGAGAGCTAAGCTGTCAGTTGCCTGCTCTTTTATTATGCTTATAGAACAACCACTTAGTCCAATGACGATGAATAATTGAGCGGAACAAGTTCCCTGCCACAGTGGCATGCAAAGCGGGATCAGTGGGACTCCGGAGACAAGAGCGTCAGGCAGTGCAATAAAATATGCTAAGTGATAGGAGAGCATTACAGCGAATTTGTAAAGCCGGCGCGGAGAGAGAGATAAATTATCTCTCCCTTAATGCGAAGCAACGTAAGCAAATGAGCCGTGGCCATGGATGAATTACAGATTGTCGGCCCACCTTTCCCTCACTGATCCCTCCCTATTATGTCAAGGAGAGAGGGGGGGAGGCAGAGGAGCACCAGGCGCTGAAACACATCAGTGTTACCGGCTAATGCAACAGGGAAGCTTCTTGTTGAGATAGTTCTGTGCTGAGGTGTAGTAGCTTGCACTTAAAGAGTCAAAGACAGTCCAATTTGTTTGCAAAAGTAGCCCAGTTGCCAAATAACAGAATTTGGAATGATGGGCGTCTCATCCATGCTGAGTTGCTCTCTGGTGTAATGAGGCTTGGTGGAGGAGCGGTGTCAGCGGGGGGGACAGGGCGACGGCTGCTCAGAACCAGTCCCCAGATGACATTAACCTTCATCATGGTGAAGAGGCGCTAAGTCCCCCCTAAAGCTCCACTCTCGGCCACACTCTGGCTGCTCTGAGAGCTAAAACGCTGCAGTGACACTCTGCCGCCCCCTTTGATCTGCCCTTCCTGATTACAGCCACAGAGGAGAGGAAAGCATGGACTGGAGGGGGTGAAGTGCCCCTGGGACCCTGAGAGTTGAATTAGAAACACAGGGTCCTGTCTCACTCTCCGATGCTCCTCTTCTCTCCCTCTTATTGTTTCTTTCTTCCCACTTCTGTGTGTGTGTGTGTGAGAGAGGGTGGTTTCTGTCTCTCTGCAGCCTCACTCCTTCTCACCAGAGACTGACAAAGACACTTAAGCAAAAACACACTTAGACACACACAGTCACACATACGCACAGTCTTGGCCATGTGATGGATAATACAGTCAGTGGTGTGCACCATCACACACAAAGGTATTCAGCGCTGACCTTTGCAGTGCGCTCCCAGCAGTCTGTGCCGGCTTCACTTGGTGTAAAAGCACCTCAGTGACAGATCATCAGCACACACTTGGGCATGTTTGTCTCTCAAAATGTAAAAGAATATTCTGATTAACCTCGTCATAACACAGTGCGATGACCGTCTCATGCTTTGTCTCTGATCACTCGCAAAGAGGCCAGAAAGACTCACAGCGAGAGACATCATTAAGACTGATATCTCCAGTAGCGTTTACCCTCTCTGCTCCATTTTCTTTTTTAACTGCCCGGCTGATTTTGTGTCCTCTCTACCCCCTTTGTAGATAATTGGAACAATCCCACTGATGCCCAACTCTGCAGGACCCTCCAGCCAATCAGGGGGTGGCAACCCAGCACTGCAAGTACAGCCAATTACACCTCAGCTTCTGACCAACGCTCAAGGCCAGATCATCGCCACGGTGATCGGCAATCAGATCCTGCCTGTCATCAACACCCAGGGAATCACGCTGTCACCAATCAAGCCTGGACAGCAGGTAACACACACACACACACACACACACACACACACACACACACAGAGGAAGATAGAGGAGCTTATTATACACTTAAACTGATGTTTCAACATTGATCAAGAGCTGGCTTTAAAACTGTTGAATGAGCAACACCTAGTGGAGTCACACCAGAGCTCTGTTTATTCATCAAAGTACATTTCCCAGCACTGCTAGTCAGGTCTGCTTTATGCTAAACACCTCGGTTCTTTATTGCTTCAACTCCCATAACACTTATTTGCATCATTCCACTCGGAAAATTGAAGCTTTTGGTGCACAATGTGTGTGTCTGTGTGCACATTTGGAAAGCACTTGTCAGACAACCTTTCAGACTCTGCGCCCCTGTAGAGCCCAAAAAAACAAAGACACACTTTTCAGCACCCCACTTAAAACTCAAACACTAGTGTTCTCCACCTCTCCCTCCTCCTCTCCGTCTCAATCACTCTCCAACCTTGTGTTTTGTCCTCTCTGACCTGAACAAGAAGTCTTTTTGTTTTTGATTTAAAGGAAGACGCGACAAAACAGACTTCTTTTGTTTCTTTTTGTAGAAGTTTAAACTGTTAAATGTAGAAACTCTGAAACGACTTCTTCTGAGAACTTAAAGATCTATACAGTGTTCAATTGCGGAGTCAGATGCATTCACACGACAATGAAGATGTTATTGACTTGATAATGACGATGTCAGCGCAGAATTACAGGGTAAAAGTTCACATTGAATGCCCGTGTAATGCAGAATGGATGAACTCTCCGCAGATGGACGCCTAATTGTGGCTCGCCAAACCCCAGATCATACTCTTGAATGAATTATTGCATTCGTAATAATGTTTATGCTTTTGTCTCCACTTCAAAGCCCGCATGTACACATTGTTCCTCGGGCATAATTTACGGTTGTCAGAGCCGGCAGTCTAGAATATTTCCAGTGAAGCTAGATAATTCTCCGAGCCTGTCAACAGTCCTGACAGTGTGTGCATCGCTGTTGACACCTCCCACCATCCAAACAAACACATGCCAGGGAGAAAATAATTAATAGCAAAGAAGGAGAAGGGGAGCCGGCCTAGCTTACGGCGGAGACAGCTTTTCGCTTTAAAAGTGAAGACGTACCATCTTGATCTTGTAAAAGCTATTCAATTGTGCATAAAACATGAAAATACATCGTTTTCTCGCCATCTGAGCACGTAGCTTGTGGATCATGAATTATGTTTGATATGGGAACTGCTGTGTCCACATGTTTATCTTTCACATTCAGGCTGCCATTATTAGCATCCTCGCAGGTCTGATGACGAGAGAGATACTCTAATTGTCATGAGCAGTTTTCTTTTTTTATATAACAAAGTTGATTTCTGCAGAGAAGCGTTTGTACCCGAGTTGACTCACAGTCTCCTGCAATAGTAAACTACTGCTGTAGTCTATTGAGCACACTATTGACGCCATGTTTTAATACCGCAGGCAGTAATTAACATGAATTCATCATCAGTAACAAGGTGAATCTCATTATAGTCAGCTCCTAAGTGGCTAATTGAATAGCTGTTGATTAGATGTAGTATTATAGCCTAATCACCATAATGACATGATTACTATAAATGATGATTATTGTGATGATGTGGGTCAAGGGATAATGGATCATTCTCTGTACTGCATGCTGTCAATATATTAAATCAGCTGTGTGTGTGTGTGTGTGTGTCCAGATGCCTCAGGCTCAGCAGGGTCAGACAGGCCCTGTATCGTCTCAGCCCAACCTGCTCCACATGCCCCACAGACAGAGTCCTCTCCACCAGGCCTCTTCCTCCTCCTCCACCTCCTCCTCTTCCTCGGCTCTCAGCGTGGGGCAGCTGGTCAGCAGTAAGTGTCCGACACAGCTAAACACAACATGCCTTCAAATATATGGAGCAAAGAGCCCTTCTCTGTTCTCACTGTCTCCTGTGTTGTATTATATGGCAGTGCATACATGTTAAAGGGTTGGGTCAAATTACAATGAATCATATTATCTCACATCTCTCTAGAAATGCTCAGCCAAGCAGCCACAGGAAAAGAAAAACATTTCTCAAACAGCTGGGCAATAGCTTAATTTGCAATACTTCTGTAGGGTCAATTTATTGATGGTTTTGGTGTTTTCTGACCAATTTGAAAATATATATAAAGTGATCAGACAACGTTTCAAATCAGGTTACATTTTTGTTGGTGCCTAAAACGATCGTGGCTGTCATTTCCAGAATATTCTTTAAACATTTGATCGGAAATAGGTTCAAATATTCTTACGGCCGTAGCTGCTTATTATTTTTCTTTAAAGGAAATAAGACTTAACTTAATGAAATGAAATCTTGATAACAATGGGAATTATTATTTGGTTATATTTAAAAACCTATGACAATCAAATACAGACAGAACTGGCATGACAACATGGACAGTTTTGCGATGCACATACCTCCATGAAATTGTTTTATTAATGAATGCTTTATACTGAATAAAAAGCCATTATGATACTGGTGATTGTTGGATTATTCTTAAGTAAAAGGGATTTTAGAAATCATTTTCAATAAGCTATTTTTGACACAGTACCACCTCTGAAATTCAAATGACCCACAGTGAACTCAGGTGAGGGCAACATCTCAAAACGTTGTCAACGACAGCGGAAAAAACTCTGAATGCTAGATACCAGAGATAAGAAGAAAAAAGAATGTTGTATTCTTACCCCTGTCCCTTTGGCCGCTCTGAACATTACGCTCTGTGTGGACAGCTTTTGACTGATCCCCGCCTTCTACCATTGTTTTATTTTTTCCTGCCTGTCAATCCTTTGGTTTATTAGTCAATCCAAAGTGGCGTGTGTTATGTTTAATGAACATAAGTTTCACTCTGCCTTAGCTTGGGCCTTTGGCAGAGCCTTATAAATCACTGGGCCACAGCCTGTCAGCAGGCGGCTATTGCTTTTAAAAACTCCGTTTTATTCAGATAAATTTCATTTGTCAGAGTCGATTCCCCTAAACCCCATGTAAACTCATTTCAAAGGCAGCTACACTACCACTGAATTTAATAAAAAAACAAGTCTCTATTGATCAACTCGTTGTAGACACCGTCTTTAGTTTGTGTTTACTCGTAGCATATATATCTTATAAACCATTATCGAGACTGCTACAAAAATCATTGTGGCTCTGTTCTGCCCTAAATAGAATAAATGCTTTATGCTGAGTACGAGCCATATCACTTCCCCTCAATATCATTTACAGCAAACATCCACAAAAGAAAATCCCATGACAGAATCAGAGACGTCTTCTGAGGAGAGAAGATGAAATGTCATTTCATTCGCCGGCCACAAACAAAGTGCCAGAAACAGATTAAAAAGCTGAGAATGTCTGCTTCTGTTATTTAAATATAATAAGATGGGGAAATGTCAATCAGAAAGAAGAATGTCAGCATTTTTTTCTGCCTTAACATTGTTTTTATTTTAATTTTTTCTTTATATATTGAGCCAGAGAAGCTGTTTTATAGCAACACCAATTTACCATTCCTTTCCTACCTGATCTGATCGCAGTGTGTATGTCATATCAGAAATGCTTATTTATACCAGTTGCGATTGCAAAACTCACGTATAAATACCAACTCTAAAAAAGCTCTTAAATAGCATGTGTTGCCAAATAGGAGAGCATTTTTAATTCACTTTTTCTGGGGTCTTAACTACGCACTTCATCATCATTTAGTCTCATTCAGGCTGTCAATAAACATTTAAACAAATAAAAGGCGAGTTTTTCCCCTTTTGTGAAAACAGACGGAGACAAAGGCATATAATAACATGAGTCCTGCTTGCAATTTAAAAGTTTTACTCGTAATACTTGTGTTTTACTTTACAGATACATTGATTGTTTAAGTTGTTATTGTCCTGTTTAAATTATAAAGCTAATAGTGTGTTAACGCTGTGAAGAAGAGCAGCTTTTAAACGCCCAGAAATTGATCGTTTCAATCGTTTTTTTAAATATGTCCTTTCAAAAATGTTATTTGCTTCTCTGTTTGAAAGCTTTACCTCTCTATTCATTATCGCAAAACAGATTAGAAAGCTTAAATCATGTTTGTGTTGGTGACTTCATGTCTAAAGACAAATATCCCGAGGTTAGACCAGTTGCTCTGGAGCGCCATTAGTCTCCCGGAGCACAGAGTGAATAGACTCTGCTGGGAATGATGAAGAGACGCTCATCAATGTGGAGATGATGGGAGCCGAAGCTGTGAGTGCTCATCCCTCCCCTCTAGTCGTCTGCGAGCCTCCAGTCCCTCATCTTCCAAGTGTTCACACGTCTGGAGCACGCCGCATACGCTACACGTCACTTATGAGGCACAACGAGATGGCAGCCCCATAGATTTTTGCTTAAATACGCTTGGAGGATTCCTTTAATAATTCATTGATAATGACCAAGATGAATAATTCAGAGGCACAAACTTTGCTTTAGTAAGCAGGATGCCGGGGCACCTGACATTGATGTACAATGTAATCACTTTCTATTAGCAGGGAAATTCTTCAAAATGCTCCAGTGAAGTTTTTTCAGATGTGCTCCAATGTGGAGATTCGCAAACAGCATTTCTTTTGAGTTGTGCACGAGGCTGGCCGGCCTGAACTGACTTCCCACCGGGTCAGAGAGTCTTTATACACTCATGAATGTTTATTTCAGACGGCTACCTTTAGGATGTGTTTTCATACAGACACAGAGACATTAGAAAAATACCTCTTAAGATCTATTGAATTATATTTGTCCGTGGGCTTTTGTATGTGTGTATAAAGATTTACAATTGCAAGTCAAAGCTATAAACAGCCTGCATTCACACATAAATGAATGTATTTATCCCACAGTATTTGCTTAAAGCACAAGGGCAGAGAGAAATAAAAAGATCTGACCCAGAGCTAGCTGGTTTAAAGACACTCACGATCATATATTTCTGAATGTTTGCTTCATTCAGTCTGAGGAAATGAGCGACAGAGGGCTAACAAATGAGATGTGTTTTGTGTTGCAGACCCGCAGACCGCCCCCAGCGAGGTGGACGGGGTCAACCTGGAGGAGATCCGTGAATTCGCCAAAGCATTCAAGATCCGCCGCCTGTCCCTGGGCCTGACTCAGACTCAGGTGGGTCAGGCGCTGAGCGCGGCCGAGGGTCCGGCGTACAGCCAGTCTGCCATCTGCAGGTAAGAGCAGCCAGGGAGGAACATAAACGCTTCATCATTCCTGATCAATATGTCCTAATTCTGTCAAATGAAACCAGATAAAAGTCTCACTGAACTGCCTGGTTTTCATCTATTTTTCATCTCGTGTTTTAACAGACATTACTAAGATATTAAAATACATAATTGACTATCACCACCCTGACAAACGAAGCTCTCATGCCTGTACTTAGCCGTCTTCCCGTTCCCCTCGCTGACATGACAGCAGCGCGTTACTTATGCAAAATACATACACAAGTATTACACGAAGCACTTAGAGCATTTAATAATTACTAAGGCCTGACGCCGGCTGCTCGTCTGAACATGAGAGAGCTTGACGGCAATGATCTGTTAATAAGATTGCCATGTTTTACCGCTGCCACCAGGACAGTTTAGTCCTAAATGCGGCATTATATATTCATGAGACTATCAGACAATCAGTGTTTCATCCCTACTGTTTTTCCACATGACTAACATTTAGCATGAAGACACCAAATGAGCCACATTTCCCTTTCAAGTCAGAATAATTTAACTACATCATGCTCAAATAATACTCTTTAAATGTCAAAAAAGTGTCAAATGAATTAAAAAGTCCACCGATTAAAGTCAAATGTCTTTTCTAAGATCCAAACAAAGTATAAATATGTATATGACAACTTTTCTTTGCCAAAAACACAATAACATAACACAAGTGTAGCCTGTGTTGCATCCGTTTTTTGAGAACTCCCCCTAGTTTTTCAGGTCTTATTCCTGTATTCATTTGAATGTCCCAGTGCATGTGCTTTCCTGATGACCTGTACTGTTAATCTGACAAGGCACTGCCATGCCCTTTTAAAAATGTCATCACATCAACATCAAACACCCGATAAAATGTGAAACTGTACAGGGGCCGGGGTTCTTATGAGGCCCAGCCATCTCTGACTAATGTTTAAAGTCTTGAAATCACACATGAAATATTTACAGCCAGGCATAATTCAAATATTTATAACATACATTAAAAGCCATTAGCTTCAAAAATAAACACTCAGTGGGCTGTTATTCATGCCGTTAAGACCAGACCATTTTTTTGTTTGTATGACATTGGACATGACATGGTGATGTTTTAAGTAGAGGCCGAACTTCACATGCTTTAGTTTAGTTAACATCAACACAGACATGAAGTTTGAGCGGGACGTAGCTCTGGGGCTTTGAACCAGACAGAGAACAGACACTGACAGATGCCTCCATCTTGTCTCCTTTCATTGCTCACTGTGTTTCCAAGCTCTTTATTAGTTTATCTAAACAGGCACAGACATTACACGAGGGCATCATCAAACCAATGATAGCCACTGTGCTCTCCTCTGGTTACAATGTGCTTTGTTCAGGCTAAAATGGATATACACTGTACACGTGTTCAAAATGGCCTTCAATGCAGCATTTCAAACTCTTTGATGGTTTCCTCATGATTACATCTTCCAAACTAAAAAGTCCCAGCTTAAATAAACATGAGCAGAATATTAACTAAATAATCGACCAATAAATATAAACACAGTAGACGGTACAGTAAGCTCACTGATATGAATCTGTTGAATATGGAAATCTACTTATATCATAAGGGCAGATTCTCTTTCTATTTTGTTTTATATTGCATGATCAATTCCTAAAAAAGCAAAACCTTTTTTAATAAATACTTTTGATTGTACAAAAGAAGCCAAAACGTTATACTCTACGTGAAGTTGCCTCCCAAGAACAGTGCCTAACAACATTTAAATGGGCTAATAGTGTGCTAACCCTCCTAATAGTTGGGTTAATTCTAATAAATCTGTATAACATATAGATTTATATATTTTTATCAATGTATCATGAATATATCAATATATCACATGTTTGACTCCAGACACTGCTCTTTAATTACTTTTACAATTCCAACAATGGTCTATAACAACCAGAGATACTAAAAGGTTAAATACCAAAGTATAAACAGTGCGGCATCTCTGAAAGAATGAAACATATATTTTCCTCTCTGAAGGTTTGACAGGATGACAGGGAAGTAAAACAGGTGATACAATGTATTACACAATAATAGATAATAGTATTTATTGTAACTGTTTGTCGAGGTAAATTCTCCTCAGATTTTAGCCCTCATGTAACCTCGTATCCGTCTCAACGACTTTAAACCCGGAGGCAGACTGAAACTCAACATACAGGTACTTTTAAAAAGAGAGGCTGGAGGTGCATTCAGGGCCACTTCTCCCTCGTGCTGATGCACTAGAGGAGGGAGTGCATACCCCAGCCGAGCGGCTCTCAACTCATTTTAGTCTCTGCGGTTCCTGTTGATCCATGAAATGTCCTGTCTCTGGTGACTCCTCATATTTACTAATGTATTCCCTGCAGTACGCAGCCTCCTCTCTCCACTGTTTAGGACGAGGTTATAAATAATACCGCCTGTCGACAAGGAGGAATGCAGCGGCGAGGTGTAGAAGCAGAGCAACTTCATGCACGCATGGTCATCGCTGCCTCTCTGGTGTTGTCTGCAGCAGCTCACCTCCCATTAAAAACATCTTGTGTGCATTGTTTGTTCCTCAGAGAGCAGATCTCAGAGCTGCCGTCAGTCCAGAAGCTGCTTTCCTAAAAGCATTCACACACGTCACACTCGTGTTTGTCCCAGAAACACTTTCAGTTAACTCATGTGCGCTTATTTATTGAAAAATGCTCGGAAATCTGAGTTTAAAAAGCAGCTTTCGTATGAATTTAAATCCTCCTCTTTTATATTAGATTTTGCTTCAATGTAATTCTATTTTTTATTTTGGAAACCTCACATAGATTGTTTTTGAAAGAACGACCTGAGGGTGCATCATGTCACGAGTTGACAAGGTCCCTGGTTTCAGTCCAGCTGGGGACCTTTGGTACATGTCAGCCCTCCTCTCTCCTTAATATTGTCTGATAGCAAATAGAGTTTAAAATGTGCAAATATACATGATCACACAACACAAACATCTCTCTTAAGAAATGGTTGAATCTGTCATTGATTCAATGATTACTTGATCTTTTTAGCATTCATATCCTTCTCCCCATGTTTCCTGTTGCTTTGTCAAAAGACAAAATGTCCATAAAACAAACAACAAACGTCAACGGAAACCTCTCCAGTCCGATCAGTCAGCATCACTTCAACTTGGAAGCATTGTTGGCTCCACACTGTAAATGATAAAAGACCCCTGCCAAACATTACAGACATGTAATAACTGTCAGGGTGGTGTTCATGTATGAACTAAAACCATGAATACAAAATAGTTCAATTTAAAGTCAGAGCGCTCCTATCTAATAACCACATTTAAAGGATCCTCATCAAAAATGTGTGCTGTTGGTTCACAAACAAATAATGCCATCTTAAAGAAAACTGAAAAAGATCCTTTTGCTGTCAAATAAAACACCATTAGGATGTTTTCCTATCACAGGCTGGCAGTGTTTCTATAAAAGCCTCATTCTGCAGTCTTACGGTGACTCTAAAATGCGGAGTGTTTGTGAAGTCAGAATTACGCGGGCCGCAAAGTTGCAGGAACTTCCAGGATTAGAGTGTGCAAATGTATTAAATATAAAATGAGACGTTGAGAAGGAAAGAAAGTTTGAAAAATGTATTAAATGTACATTTTGATTAATAATTCAAGCGCTTTTGGTAAATAAATCATGGTGCCATATTTAACTGCATGCATTAGTGGATTTTTGTTTTTTTATCCCCTGAGGGAAAGAAATGGGATATTTGGGAGTAATTCCTATTTTTGTTTATTTAACAGCATTTTGAAGCATAGTAGTTAAATATAATGCTTTTGGTTCAACTGGACCTGATTTTAGTCTTTGGAAATATCTCTTTGTTCCATTTTTTGGACAGAGGCCAAGCCCTCTTCAGAGAATTAACAAACTGCTGGCATCAGTCACCTGCAGCTGCTGCAGCTGAGGGGTTTCCAGGGGCAGAATACAGGGGTTTGGCTCGGATGTGTACCTGGATGTTAGTCTCTTGGTCTAAAAGGCAGGCAGCTTATCCCTTGTTCTGGCAAGTAAGATTCTTTTTTCTCAATTCTCCCCAGACACACCATCCTGAGAAGCCACTTTTTCCTACCACAGGAAGCCCAAGAGAACACATTAGGTAGCAGTCTGACAGGCAAACTGAACCCTGGCCTTTTATATCCTGCCAGGTTTGAGAAGTTGGACATCACCCCTAAAAGCGCCCAGAAGATTAAGCCCGTTCTGGAGCGCTGGATGGCCGAGGCTGAAGCCCGCCACCGGTCCGGCATGCAGAACCTGACTGAGTTTATCGGCAGCGAGCCTTCCAAAAAACGCAAGCGGAGGACCTCTTTCACCCCGCAGGCGCTCGAGATCCTCAACAGCCACTTTGAGAAGAACACACACCCCTCCGGACAGGAAATGACGGAAATAGCCGAGAAGCTGAACTATGACCGGGAGGTGGTGCGGGTCTGGTTCTGCAACAAGAGACAAGCTTTAAAAAACACGGTAAAGCGTTTGAAAGGTCCGGAGCTGGGCCCGGCCGGAGCCATGGACCCGCTGTCCGACTCTCTAGAGGAGCTGCCCAAATGAACCACAGTTTAACAGTGGAGGGGAAGAGAGGCAGCCATTAATAACCAGAGGGATGAACTCATCTTGAACCGAACAATGTTACAGAGTCACCTGGACGGACAGTGATGAGTTTGCAAACAAAAACTATGTGTTGTCAGTGTGATTACCACAGCTATGTAAATGACCTTGGCGAAACCAAAAACAAGAAAAAAAGAGATTAATATCTGAGAATTATGTAAAAACATACGGTGTGCTGTTTCAAAGAGTTTTAGATTCTGGCCGTACAGACCAGACTATCGCCCACATTTTGGTTCCCACCAGGAGGGATTTAGTAAAGAGATCATACCAAATCAAAACACTATTTACCAAAGTCTGTTGCATCTGAGTACTAAGAATAATTTTGTAATGTAAATGTGCTCTAAATTTCTACATTTGTACTGGCAAATCTAAGCTATATGTGTGAGGTTGGGTATACATTTTATCTTTGTCTCGCTTACTTTTTTCTTCATTGTTTGTATGTAAATATCTGAAAAAAAAAAAAAATGCTGTCATCCAAGTGAAACCACTCTGATAAACGTTCTCTTTTTGGACAAAAAGAAAATGCTGTTGAACAGTTGCATTATGATGTTGTTTGCCTTTGTGTTTCATCTGCAAATATTTTTCAGTCACAGTGTAACTTTGTACAACTTTTACAGGTATTTATTAATAATCTCAGAGTGTTTCAGAGGACAGACAGTCAAATAAGGACTTTCAGATGATGATGATGAAGGGTTTCAGTGTCTGTCAAGTCTGCTGTTTTGAGCTACTGTGTCATTCTGTTGCCAAAGCCTGATAGCCAAAGAACATGTTAGCTCAAGGACTGGTGAAGATTTTACCTTTTTATTTTCTGTTTCACACGGCTTTCTAGTTTCTAGTTTAACACTACCATCTCAAGCAGCTTTAAAAACATCCACACATCTGCGTCTGCATGCTTCATGTAGGATTTGTCTCAGATCAGTTTCACCTGGCAATCCAGGATTAACATTACCTGCTTTTTTCTTACCTCACTGAAAATAACATTCTTTATTAACATTATAAAGACTTTATAATGCCCTTAAACTAAATGAACATGTGTGGTTGAAGCCTGTTTGTCGCCACTGACCAAACTACTGAGCTCATTCCAGTTCAAATGTTTTATAACCTCAACAACAACAAAATGTTCCTTTGTGTTCTGCATCGCTGTCAGCTTAGTGAAGTTTTACAATCAACTATTTTAATGGGGAAATGTTTTTTAAATGGTTAATTTTGACAGATTATGCTAAAATGTCCCTTGATGTGTTTATTGTTTTTGATTCCAGTCGATTGTGTCTCCAAACTGTTCATTTAACGTGTTTTTAAATGTCAATATTCCCATCCATACAAATATGTCGCTCTCTCGAAAGCCCCTCACAGGAAAAGCCAAAAAAACAAACAAGAGGTGAATGTTGAGAATAAGTGTCACATGTCAGAACGAGTGAACTTAATTTGAAGCGAGGCGAAATTTGATGCAATTTATTCAGAATCATGTGTCTGCTCGATATCTGTCCCTCTATGTCACATTGGTTATCTTCAGTGCTGCGTTCTTCTTCTCTGCCTGGAAAACACGCACGCAAACACACTGTCAGAAAACACATGACATGTTTTTAAAGATACAAAGCAACTATTGACTCAAGTATTTCAACTACATTTCCATCTTTTGATTGTGATTCCACCTTTACGTTGCGTCCATCTTCCATTCAGGCAAGTCTTTGGCCAAGAAACTCCACATCTGCACCCACCCACTCAAAAGAAATCTGAGACATTCTATCTGCAGGTAGAATATGGATCTTTTCCGAGGCTTGTCAATAAAGCTGTAACCAAAATAAAAAAAAGAAGTTGACTTCTCAATGCTGGACCAAAGCTCTATAGTTATGCACATTGTACAGAGAAATAGATTCATGATGTTGACAATCTTTTAAAAAAACTGAGATAAAAGAATTGTACAGACGTTCATCCAAGGTTTACCTCAGTACTGTTCTTGTGAGAATCATACAAACGCCATGAAGCATCAGCAGGTCAGAAAAGACAGACTCTGCACTGTGTGTGTCGATGTTCACCTCCAACGTGTTTTATTTATTTATTATTATGTGACACATGATTGTTTTATTTTTGTGAAGTGGTTTCCTGAGCCACACGTGACTCTCCGTTATTTCTTTTCTATCTTATTTGCATTATGTTTCATTTGTTGTGCCGTCCCCTCTCAGTCCCCACAGACCTGTAGCCCCCCCCCCCCCCCTCGTAGAGGAACAAAGGAGATTACAGTGTTGTTGCTCTGGATTAGGATGATTTTTAAATCACCATTAAATGCTTTTGTGACATTTTACTAACACAAACAAAGTGGTTTGCCGTTTTGTTAATAGTGGAAGAACTCGAAACCAAAGCTGAAGAGCCCGCAGAGGTCGGTTTTCATTTTTTTATGGACTGAAAACTGTACTTAATCTATAGAGCAATATCTGTTTGGTCAGTTAAGCAGCACTTTGTGTATTTCCAAAAAAAGAAAAAAGCTTCAAGTCTGTCACATTGATTTGTACCATAATTAGTAATAAACAATTGTTTGACATGAATTGTGTGTCCTGTTTTCAGTGGAGTTATTCTTTAAGATAGAGTCTGCCCTATATATGCCATTAGAATGTATTATAAATATAATTATTCTATAACAAAATATTCCATAAGAAATATATGTACATTTGTCACAGACACAGATAATTTTTTTGTTTTTTTTCTATTTATTTGATGATTTGTTTCCTTGCTGTAATGCTTCATTGCAAAAAGAATTGACAGATACACTGAAAAAACTACTTTTTCTACTTTAATTAAATGTATTATGTCAACAGACTTCACATAACTAAACTGTATTAGGTTAGTTGAAAGCAAAAATATCAAGTTTAAATAAAAATAGTAGGTTCAACTTAATATTTTGCTTTCAGCTAACTTAATATAGTTATACTAAATGTGTTGACATAATACATTCAATTAAAGTCAACACCTCAGTTCTTTCAGTGTCATATAGTCGGATACACTAAAAGAACTGTACTTTTCTTACTTTAATTAAATGTATTATGTCAACAGATTTCAAATAACTGTATTAAGTTAGTTCAGGTTCTACTAACTTAGTTCTAGGTTCAACTTAATATTATTGCTTTCATCTAACCTAATACAGTAATGGGACATTTGTTGACATAATACATTTAATTAAAGTCAACGTTTCAGTTGTTTCAGTGTATCTGACTATCTATCTATCTACACTGAAAAAATGTAAACGTTGACTTTAATGTAATGTATTGTGTTAACAAATGTCACATAACTGTATAGGTTAGTTGAAAGCAATACTATTAAGATAGATAGATAGATAGGTAGATAGGTAGATAGATAGGTAGATAGATAGATAGATAGATAGGTAGATAGATAGATAGATAGATAGATAGATAGATAGGTAGATATATAGATAGATAGATAGATAGGTAGATAGATAGATGGATAAAAGGATAGAAGGGATCAGATAGATGTAACACATGTACCTCTTGCAGAGTTCAAAGATTTCAGTAACATACAAATATTCCATAAACATGACTTTTCTTTTCATCTTCATCTTTTTCAACTCCACACATAAACACGATGAAAAATAAAAGATATGTCAAATAAAAAACAAACTTTCTCCGAGAGGTCATGGTCATCTTCAATCCTCCTGCACGCACCTCGCTGTTTCTCTTACCCCGTGTACGAGCTGACTATCCGGAGTGTTTAATGAGAGGAGGGGGCTACAAAAGGAGCCCTCCATACAATATTTAGCCTGGCTATTTATTTAGATTTCCTCTGGGTCAGGAGAGAAGAATACTTGTCAGGTTTGCTTCTCATCAAAGCTTAATGTGTTTGCCTCACCAAATAACAACAAGACAAGTGTAAAGAAGGAGAGAAATATATAAATAAACGGGGAGAGAGCTCTTTTGAAACTAAACTCAAAAGTTTGATACGGCTTCCCTGTCCGCGATGCCTTTGAAAAACGGGCAGGCTGCTGAAAAAGAAAGTAGTAAATAAATAAATAATAATAATAAAAAGCACAGACAACATACATTATTAACATTAGACTGAAAACTGATGTTCAAGATGCTTTCTCGTCTTCCTTTCAGCCCCCCCCCCCCATTCATTTCGAGATGTATTTGTGAGTGGTGATGGCTGCACTCCTCTCACTTATTTGATGTTCTTTTGTTTTTCCACGCGCGTCATTTTCCTTGTGTTTCCCATTAACTATATAATTGTGCAGATGCAGCGCCTGACCCATATCTGTTTTCTCAAACTGTTTGTATTCTGCCGCTGATAAAAGTTTACTTTCTATCCTCTGTCTGCGGCATTTTCTGTTTGAATGAAGAGGAACAGGAACAGGATTATTACTGGAGGAAGTGTCAGAGTTTGAGCTTCGCATCAATCATCGTTAGACGTCAATCTGATCAGATGTTCCGAAAGTTCTTACTTGTTTTAAAGTTTTATAGCATCCTATCAAAAACTACCATAAATAAAACATGAAAATAGTATCCTGTTCCTAAAAAGCTTCTTTTTTTTTAAAGCCTCTTCCAACTTTTACCTAGAAAATTGAACAAAATCACAGCAGGCGGCGAATGCTCCAGACTTCAGATTGATAGGGGGGCAAAAGTTAGGGTCATTTAATTAATTGTTCGCTTCAGAATGAATGAATACAGTATATTAGCGCAATATAAATTGAAAAAAGGCATTTAAACTTAAACTAGACAATATAGTAGGGCCTCAAGATGTAAGGATTTTAGCTCAATTGCGCTTTAGATGAATTTACTACAGTAAAATGATCAAAAAGGCCTACTTTTCCTGACTAGATCCGGCTATAAATGCTGTGTGAGAAACTGTTCCACACTATTCAAGTGTCCTCATGATAAAACATTAAATAAACAAATTATGTTTGAACTCTTGATTTGGATCAGGGAAACCCAAACAAAAACCTTTAAAGTGCAGAAATCTCAGCAGGAAGAACGCATATGCAAAAAGCCAACACTAATAAGGTTAATAGAAAATGAAGTATTCTATTCAAAACATAAAATGTGATTTCAGGCTTTGCAGAGATCTAAGAGCAGTACAGTAGTTTGAGGATTCACGCAGAGCCTTTGTTGTGAGATGTTTTTTCTAAAGAGTAATCCAGTAAAGAGGAGTTTTGACCTCTGAGTCTTATTGTTACTTTCTGGACTTACAGTAGGAAAGATCTCCTCCATCTCTCTTCTTATATATTCCTCTCGAATCAAAGTGAAGTCTGCAGCCCGACTTGTTGCCATGAAACATACCTGTTCAATCTGGAATTGTCCCGACTGTGGAGAGGGAGGTAGAAATATTATGACATGTCTGCGCTCCAAATGGATTATGTTTCAATATCAGTCAGGACGTGGCGGCAGAGGGGGGGGGGGGGGGGGGGGGGGGGGTTAGTGGTGTTGGATGCAGATGCTTTTAAATTGCTGCCTTTGTTTTCCATCAGGCATGAAGCATCCCCTTCCCTTATCTCCCAGCAGACACCGGGCTGATGTTCTGGGTAAATGAACTGTCGGAGTATCCCTCACCCTCCTTCTTGTTTTCACTTCCTGCCTCAAGGTTGAGATGTTGGTACACCCGAGCCGCTCAGGCGTCTCCCACTTTGCACACCCTGATGCCTCTGGGGGGGGGGCAATTACCAATCATCATGCAATCGGGGTCGGCCATGCATATGATCCCCTTTTGCTTTCACTCTTGTTCCTGTTTTTCTTTTTTCTGCATTATTAGCAATGACACGCTGAGGAATTTACAGGTGGAGGAGATAATAGGCCGGTTTTTACAGAGACACCTGTCCAGCTGATTGTCCGTTTTACTCTCCTGCAGCTCACTCTCTCAATGCCTGTGAGGTCTCTGTTTGCAGCACTCTGCTTAGTGTTCCGGGGGGGGGTAAATAGCGCTGCATGGATCTAGTGTCTCCTGAAAGTCTCAAGAAAACACAGGGAGGCCGTTACAGATGTTGATGCACACCTGCTTACCACCTATTCCACTTTATATTGAATACATTCATCAAAGAACTCTACCCAAGTATACTTGTGTTTAATTTGAGTATTTCCATGTTCTACTAATTTATACTTCTACTCCACTGCAGCTTTCTTAAACCTCCCAATTCAGATTTTTTTTTAAATTAGATAATTCATCTTCAATATGTTATGCAATTTAGTGATATCATTGGGAAAGTGTGGACAATGTTCCAAGACTTACACTGTTGGAATCATTCAGTCTTCTTCAGACACATTCCTCTTTTAATTGGTGGTTTAATTTACACCACGATATGTTTGGAAGAGATTCATCAATAAAGTTTTAAAAAGATATACACTTTATCTATCAAGAATAAGTCACATTGTCAAAAACATTCCATGAGAAGCGCTAAAAAATAATGTATTCCAACTTTATGGGCAACATCATACTAAGTGATATGGGTTTAATTAGACTTTATAACGTCAGGACACTTCAGGACGCTATGGGACCTGTATAATGAAGTGTTACAAAAATTGCAAAAACTCAACCAATTACAAAAGTAAAATGTCACTCGTATGCATTAGCAAAGACAAACGTATAGTACATCTCTGGAAAAAATCAAGAGACCATTCCAAATGTTTCTTAAATCTCAATATGTATGGCAGCCATTTCATCCCAGTGTCTGTTGAACTCCAACACAGAGAAATGTTGTCATTAGTTTATAGAATAACGTTTTTTCCCAAACTTTAAAACCTATCCATGCAGGACTTTAACTTGAAATAGTGTATTATTATAGTGTGGTATTTGATAAGGATACTTATTCACTCTACATTTCTATACAGTTGAAGAGAAACTAATACCATGGATTTTCCTTTTGTCTAAAATTCACGTCAGGCGTGCACATCCTGAATGAGTTTCTTCTGAATGCAGTGATAGTCAAAATCACAAGGACATCACAGCAGCAGTTTGAACTCCATCACATTTGTGTCTTTAAATACTGTCAATCAGTGGCGGCTGGCCCATAGGGGCGCTAGGGGCGCCGCCCCACCTCTTCCCACATTCAAAAAAAAAATAAAAAATTTAAAATTAAAAAATATATATATATATATTTTATATTTTTATTTTTAATGAACAAGGTAAATATCATACAATTGGTATCAGTCAAATGTATAATCTACGATAAAATCTCGTTTAAAATTGTGTTACGATGTCTAA